TGTCTGCGCAGACAATTATTGCGATATTTACCGTGTTAGACACGTACGATTCTATTATTGTGCCGTATCAATAATACTTGAAGTTTATATATGGGATATCTGTTTATGAGAAAAAAACAATTGCCTGTGGTTTTGAGTTGTGTTAGAATCGGGACACACATCTTGCGTATTTTTGTTTTCTTTTCGTTGTTCAGAAGCTGTGGTTGCCTGTCTGAATGGTTAGTACACTGAGTTCCCTTGCGGGAGACTAGGGTTTGACTAGGTACGGCAGTTTCCTTTTTTTCTTTTTACCCGGGGGCAAAATACAATCCAGACCTGCTCTGTCGTGGCGACAGCACTAGCCATGTGGCCATACATACTATTAAAAAAATACAGGTATGTGGGTAAACCAGTTGATAATTAAATGTGACCATTTCGCATACATATGATTTCATTTCAAACTTTCCGATTGCATGATAACGCTGAATTTTCATAGATTTCCATTCATTTTCATTTCGATTTAATTTTATTTTTCTGACATTGCTTGAAATTAGGCTGTGTTGTTTATCATAGCGTTCATTTCATAATTATGGTGTATTTTTCCTGTTTTCCTTGCATTTCACTTGATTTTTTTTTCCAAACTACTTCGATGAAGGAAAGAGTAGACGGTGAATTAGGAGGGGGTGGGGGAGGGTAGCATAAACTTGTAACTGAAAGAGCTTTAAGTCAAAGTAACTGCCTTACCCACTCAAAGTAGCAGTAGTAGTAGTTGTGATTGGGTGGTTACACCATAGTGCTATCATGCCGGAGACCGCTGGTAGAGTTATGGCATTTTTCTGTCATTAGCCTTGCGGCGCCAAATCCTCTAGCTCACGACTTCCTGTCTACTTCAACGGTAAAACAGATAGCAGTGACATTATTTTAGTTATTGTGGTGGCCCGTGGTGGTAGTAGTTGTACTGGTACTTGAAGGATAGTGCGGTAAATATTACACTACCCGCATTTACTACTCATTACAATTCCTGCTCCCTATTTCAGTCCGGATGGACAGGGGTATCAAAGTTAGTTATAAAAAATATCGTCGGGTGATGACTTTCAAATCCTTCAATGAGGGAAAGAGCAGTATTCGGTGGATGGAGGAGGAAAGGGGGTGATTTAAGAAATTGTTAACTTGAAGAGCTTAACGCATGATTTTAAAGTTCTCATTTCCTTATATGTTTATATTTTACTAACGCTACCTCCGCTAATCTCATTTTTTTAACGACTTACTTGGTTATTTGCAAGTACAGTAGTAAGCTTTACTTCCGTCTCTTAAAAAAATACAAACAGCTTTAGCATGTGATAACCAAATAACCGTTTTTTATGTGCTAATAATACCATTTAAACGACCACTAATATAAAGACGCAATTATTTGTTGCGTGTTCTAAAGTGGCAAACCAGACTATCTCTATATCTGCGCAGAGAATGATTCCGACATTAACTATATTAGACAAGTGCGATTTTTATTGCCTTTCTTTCAAAAGCCTTTGATGAGGGAGCGAGTATAAGTGGATTTGGGAAGGTGGGGGGGGGGGGGGGGGTGGGGGGCATCGATGACTATCCATGTATGTGCGCAGACAATTATTGCGACAGTAACCATATTAGATACGTGAGATTTCTATTTTCTTTTCTTTTCAATTTAGCCAAACTATGCCACAGCAACGCGTGGCCGGGTACAGCTTATATATATATATATATATATATATATATATATATATATATATATATATATATATATATATATATATATATATTGATAAACTAACACAGAAATAACTTGATGCCTCTGTGTTACAGAACAATTTTTTTTAAGGATTTCTTGGACGGCTTAACTAAAAGAGCATCCGCAATGTTTTAAAAGATGTGAGGGCTCCAATAAGACTTATTACAAACATCAGTAAGAGACGGGCATAATTTTTTAGTCAAAATATGAGAAAAATAATAACTGCAATATGATGTGACAACTAGAACTATATGTGGAATAGGTGAGAAAAGAAATAAAGGTGACAAGATATTTGACAGCCTTCTGTTATGGCATGTGGCACTAGAACCAATACATGCTGTTGGATTGCAGATTATGGAGAGACATAATCGCCTATACCAGTCGGTAGAGCACTTCATGATGATAATAATGGATTCCTGTCCTTAAATGCCCATTTCAATAATGCATCTGTTTCCACATTCGCGCCCCCATAACGAACGTAACAACTCTCCAATCACTGCAGGTTTTATTTGTAATCAACGGAGAGTTATGGGAATTCGTCAAGAGATGCCAAACGGATTGACAAAGAGGTTATTTGAGAACCCCTCTCCCCCCCCCCCCCACCCCTTCTTCCCCCTAAAAAAATGATACGACGTGAGATTGCTCCTGTTAGTTTGAAAACTTCATGGTAACTGTCAGCTAGAAAGAAAGGTGAAAAAAAAAAAGAGATTCAGAGACAAGGAAAGAGGGACAGAAAGAAAAAAAAACTCCGAAGGAAGGAAGACATAAGAAAGGAAGAAAGGAACGAAAAATAACTCAAGAAAATAGACAAATAAAGAGAGATAGAGAGCAAGGAAAAACAATTATTAGAGTCACACAGAAATGAAAAAGAAAGAAAGAAAGAAAGAAAGAAACAGACAAAAAAGGAAAGAAGAAAAGAAAGAAAGAATGAATGAAAGAAAGAAAGAAGGGACACAATTTCCTAGCTCCCCAAGTAACAGAAAAGAAAACTTTCAACTGTAACAAAATAATGACATAGCTATGTTAGTGCTGGCACAGTAGATTAATTGAACTAACGTTCGTTGAAATATTCTTGAACGTTCCATCGTCAAGTATTTCATTTCCATTTCCTGTTGACCATACAAGTCTGTTTTCTTTTCTTTATTGTCAAAACTTGTCAATCGTCCGCCAATCAGACATTTCGACAGACGCTATTTACATGTCTGAGTTTGCCAAAGAAAGAAACTTATATTCTCTCCAGTAATATACTCCTGCGGTTTACGTACGGGTTTGATTGGACTAAGTAAATAATATCCTAATTGACCCATTATCATCATCATCTTCTTCTTTTTCCTCCTTCTCCTTCTCGTCCTCATATTTCTTCTTCTTCTTCTTCTTCTTCTTCTTCTTCTTCTTCTTCTTCTTCTTCTTCTTCTTCTTCTTCTTCTTCTTCTTCTTCTTCTTCCTCTTCTTCTTCTTCTTTTTCTTCTTCTTCTTTTTCTTTGTCTTCTTGTTCTGTTTCTTCTTCTCCTTTTTCTTTTTCATCTTCTTCTTCTTCTTCTTCTTCTTCTTCTTCTTCTTCTTCTTCTTCTTCTTCTTCTTCTTCTTCTTCTTCTTCTTCTTCTTCTTCTTCTTCTTCTTCTTCTTCTTCTTCTTCTTCTTCTTCTTCTTCTTCTTCTTCTTCTTCTTCTTCTTCTTCTTCTTCTTCTTCTTCTTCTTCTTCTTCTTCTTTTCTTCTTCTTCTTCTTCTTCTTCTTCTTCTTCTCTTCTTCTTCTTCTTCTTCTTCTTCTTCTTCTTCTTCTTCTTCTTCTTCTTCTTCTTCTTCTTCTTTTTCTTCTTCTTCTTCTTCTTCTTCTTCTTTTTCTTCTTCTTCTTCTTCTTCTTCTTCTTCTTCTTCTTCTTCTTCTTCTTCTTCTTCTTCTTCTTCTCTTCTTCTTCTTCTCTTCTTCTTCTTCTTCTTCTTCTTCTTCTTCTTCTTCTTCTTCTTCTTCTTCTTCTTCTTCTTCTTCTTCTTCTTCTCCTTTTTTTTTCTTTTTCTTTTTCTTTTTCTTTTTCTTTTTCTTCTTCTTCTTCTTCTTCTTCTTCCTTCTTCTTCTTCTTCTTCTTCTTCTTCTTCTTCTTCTTCTTCTTCTTCTTCTTCTTCTTCTTCTTCTTCTTCTTCTTCTTCTTCTTCTTCTTCTTCTTCTTCTTCTTCTTCTTCTTCTTCTTCTTCTTCTTCTTCTTCTTCTTCTTCTTCTTCTTCTTCTTCTTCTTCTTCTTCTTCTTCTTCTTCCTGTTCTTCTTCTTTTCTGTTTCTTTCTTCAGTGTATGTATGTATGTCCCATCCATGCCTCTATGTGTTTTCTCCCTTGATATTGTTTTATGAACATAACATGCTTCATCGATAACATACAACTGCTGTGTGAAAGATGAATATTTGAAAGAGTCGAATTGAAGATGAGCCTGCCGGCCAAATTTGTGACCCTGAGGATTAGGTTCCTTTGTTCGTTGGTTCGGTCGTTCTTCGTCTTCTTCAACAATCGGACCCATTAAGGTCAGTTGCTGCAGAAGACATCAGCCTCCATTCATCTCTGTAATAGATCATCTGTGTCTAAGTTTTAACTCATAGAGCAATGATTCCCAAACTGAGCGCCGCGGTGCCTCGGGGAGCTGAGCTGCGACCTCTCCACAAAGGCGATGCGAAATATTTGAAGATACACAGTTTTTTTTTTTTCTCTAACGTTACGAATATTCATACATTTACTTAATTTGGGCGCCGTGGAAATATTTTACTTGACAAAAGGCGCAGCGACTAAGAAATGTTTGGGAAACACTGTCATAGAGTATTAGCAGGACGACCAGTGTGGTATCTCTCTACTATCGTCTCTGTCTACTCCAGTTAAAGTTCTATGTGTACTCAATTACTATACTATATGGGATCACTGACACTCATTGGAAGTGTTTATATGCTGTGCCTAATACTGCTGCTTCTTCTACTACTACTACTGCGGCTGCTACTACTACTGCTACTACTACTACTACTGCTACTACTACTGAATCTGTGACTTACAAGGTACGGACTTTGGGACTTGGTAACAAGTGGCAAGAATGATGGAGGAAGAGCAAGAGGAAGGCAAAGAGATAAATACCTGGATAATCCAGCCAGATGGATGGGGCGAGACAAGAACATTGAACTGATCCATGATTCTGGTGATCGTTTGAGATGGCGAAACATGACAGCTGACATTTACCGGTACGGCACATGATCATGATGATACTTCAGTTACTGGTTAAACTCACCAATGATAAACTTGCGATGTTCTTGAATGATTTCTTCGGGTGATTCTCGTATACGTGTCTGGAACCAAGACAGGTCGACTTCTTTCGTGTAGCCGCCACAGGCGTAGTTGTAGAAATTCTGAGGATTGAAGTGGATTTTAGATAAATGTGTGATCGCAAGACATTCATTGGAAGTGTAGATTTAGTGTTGTGCTGTGGCTATTTGCTGCTGCTGCTGCCTATTACTGCTGCTGCTGCTACAATTGCTGCTGCTACAACTACTGCTTCTACTACCACCACCACCACCACCAACGTCTTTTACTATTACTATAATATGCATACTACTGCTGCAGCGCTACCACTACTGCTACTAATACTACTGCTGCTGCTGCTACTTCTACTACTGCTGTTACAACTACTACCACTGTTTACTACTTCTACTACCACTACTAATATATGCATACAACTGATGCTAATACTACAGTATCAACTGCTAGTGCCCCTATTTATATTGCTACTGTTATTTTGACTGCTACTACTACTACTGCTACTGCCGCTACTGCTACTTCTTCTATTTCTGCTACCACCACCACTTTTGCTACTACTACTACTACTACTACTACTACTACTACTACTACTACTACTACTACTACTACTACTACTACTACTACTACTACTACTACTACTACTACTATACTACTACTGCTACTACTACTACTGCTACTACTACTACTGCTGCTGCTACTACTACTACTACTACCACTACTACTACTACTACTACTACTACTACTACTACTACTACTACTACTACTACTACTACTACTACTACTACTACTACTGTTACTGTAAACACGTTTAAACCAGACAGCACTACCATTACTGCTGCTACCATTTTTAGTACATTCCGGCTATGCTTTTACTGGTACAACTGATACTACTGCTGCTGCTACTCATCTTTTGCTACCTGATAAGAAGCGGCGATAGTGGCATCATCAGAAGTATCACAAATTATGTTTGAATAAATACATTTAAAGAAATGGTAGTGATTTTTAATAATAATGATAATTACGATATTAATTTTAAAAAAAAATTGAATTTAGTCATAAAAAACTCTTTATTTGACGTCCCAATTTTACAGTGGCAAAACTTGAGTATCACTATTCGTTTTCATTCTACTACAAGAAGTGGAATTAATTTGGTACCACCAGGACTTGAACCCATGACCCTACGATTACCAGGCGAACGTCTAGCCGCTGCACTACGATGGCTACTATCCAAATAGAAGAAGCGAATGAAACTCTTTAGTCAAATGCCAAAACCATTGTCCTAAAATTTCGCCGAATCCCAACTGTACTAATCTTATTACAAGATGCACAGCCATTCATCCATTGATAAATCACCCATCCCAATATATTCTTCTTGACGTTTGTACCCCCTTCTATATATCTCTGGCAGTTCTAACTCTCCAGATCATTCGCTGAAGGGCTTGCAACGTCACGAACCACAACTTGGCGTCATCAATATGTAAATCAAGATTCCTGGCTTCTCATTGGTGGTCCGTCTTGGAGTTGTTCGCATTCTCAAGATGGACTGTATCAGATCGCTAGGAAAAGTCGTTTTATGTCAGTGTCGCATCGTTCATATATTCTTTGCGTTCACCAGCTGTCAATTGCAGTGGAAAGTTCTGGTTGTTCATCCACCTCTAGACTTTAGACTTGTTTCAGAACCTGACTGTTGCGTTTACATCAGTTTTACATATCTGACTTATGTGTATGCAGACTGTTGGTTCCTTGCCTCTCAGGCAGACGCACATCGACTTCAAAGAAACCAACCCCCACCCCCTCCTAATTAGTCGACTATTACGACATGCTTGTTGGGGAAGCAGTGGGTCTAATCTTGTTTTCCCCCACAGTGGGTCCGGGAACCCACACGGGAAATTGTTCACATAATGCTAGACTCAAAACCCGTGGGCTACGATGGGTTTTGATGGATTACAATGAGTTAGGATTGGTTACGATGGGTTACGTGGTCGAAATAAATCCAGCCGCTTTTACTTCCCATAACTGTACCTAGTACCCATTTAAAGCTGACTTGACCTGGGAGCAAAGGTCATGTTTGACGGAAAAACAATTCGACTTAATGCGGACGTGAACCCAAGACCACCAGGTCGTCTGGCAAAGCGTTTAAGAGCTATACAAATCTGGCTCTCCCACCGAGCATGTTATTTTATCACAATCGACGTCACTGCACACTGGGCATTCTTATACGTGCTCAGTCCCCAAATGCAGCAGCCTGTCCACGGTAACTCTGACAACTATTCCCTTGAAAGGTTGGTTTATAGTGTTTCCTGTCTCGTCCTCGAATTCTCAATAGACCTGCTTCACAATGCTTTACTCCCATGTCACGCAATCGTCTTAGTGTCAGAGATTCGTCATTATCCACTAAAATAGTCAGTCCAACAGGGCAGGAAGGCTCTCCAAACTGCCGTCACGGAAAACATCTCGTTCCAAGAGGCAAGGAAGAGATACGAGACCGAACAGACCTAAAGAAACAAAACAGTTGATGGTATCTGCTCTGTGTATATATATATATATATATGTTAAAAGTTTCCCCATGATGTTAAACCCATGATGTGTCAGAACAATGGCCTAACATAAATGTAAATCATAGTTTTTGTTTTTTAATATGCAGAAACCATAAGTTGTTAACCCTTTGGCTCGGTTCTATGGATACCTCAACCCTTCGGCCTTGATTCTATGATAGATACTGTAAATCTGGGAGAAATCTAGTTTTTCTGCCTACCCTCGGGCGTGAACCCGAACCACAAGGAGTTTGTCACCCGGTCGCTGCCCCATCAGGTTTAACCACGTGAGCTAGCGATCCGGGCATCATAGTCCCAATGTATTAAATGCCAGAGATCTATATACCTACATACACACTGCATGTGGAAGTGGAAGAAGACGTAAATAATTCTGATGACGATTGCAGAGATGATGATAATTATAATTATTGTGCTGATGTGAATGGGTGATGGTGAAGATGATGATGATGATGACGATTATAGCCGTTACGTTTTCGGAGTGCACGCTACTTTACCCTGAGCTCACTCACCAAACACTACAGATATAAAAGTCGATGTACAAGTTAAAAATCGTCCATCGGAATGCCAGATAAACAAATCTGCAACCAAACAACCTCTGGGACTAGCTCTACAGTAAACGCTATTACAAAATGAGAACAGCCTAACTGAACACAATCACGCCAACCATCTCCTGCACCTCGCTGAGATATGGCCGACAATTTTATTAAGCACTAGCATACTTTCTATTTCCTGGCAAACATTTTCTGATGAAATTGGCAGAATTTTGAAATTGCCTGAAAATTATTATGAAGAATTTTATTAAAACAAGTTAGGGAAAGAATGAGTATCGGTTGTAGTAACTGATAAATTTCAAAATAATCACCAGTTATGTGTCTGGCTTGAAACTGCTGGCAAATTTAATCAAATTAGGCAATAAGGTTTCGCCTTCACAGTAAAAATTCGGTGCAATAAATCTCCAATATTCTCAGGTTTTTTTTTCCGGTGACCACACACATATCAGAGATTGCACTGTCCGGACACAGATGTTATTTCTTTTCGGGAAAACGTCAGTTAAATGTCTTCTGTATTATTTATCGTATCTGTACTATTGTAAATTTATGTAATGTGCTGATGAAGGAATTTCTAGCCGAAACGTTCACTTGTTGTTTGTGACATTGTGAATCGTAATGGTTCTGCTTTTCGTCTGGTTTTGATGTCTTTTCTAATATTCTTAGTCTGTCGATATTTTGTTCTTCTACACTCGCCCCTAAAAAAATCGGTTGGCATATTGTGTTGTAGTTTACAGCTAGACTGCGATATTTGCGCATTTTTGCCCAACTCATCCAATTTGAGCAAAACCCTAATTAGTCGGCTCTTACGACATGCTTGTTAGGGAGCAGTGTGTCTATTCTTGTCTCCTCGAAAACAAGGTCGCGCTACCAAGACTCAAAGGTCTGTCGATTTGATTTGTATATTCGTTCGCACTGTTGTTTGACTATTTCTTCAAGCTGTTCTCGTTCCAGATTAATTTGTTAGACTGCACTTCCACACAGTCTCCGCCTTATTTTGACACCTGGAAATTTTCTTGGATCACCCACAGCCTCAGCCTAGGTCACACGGGAGACTCTTTTCGAAGAAAGCACTGCAATGTAATACCCCTCTGACCTAGATTAGACTGAGACCGTGTCTAGATGGGCCAGGAAACGTGCACAGGTCCAACGATTATTATGTCTCTTGAGGACTCTAAAAGGCCCCGCCCGCATTTCTTCTTTGTGTTGGGTCCTCTGCCACTTGCTACTGAATACGACTTGTCCATTAAAAGTATATAAGTAAAAAGTAAAGATCCCTTTTCACGCCTTTAGGCTCATTGGGCATATGCGAAGAGCACCCATTTTTTACAGACCAATCGGCACTAGGTGGGTAATTTGGTCAATATTACGCCGGCCGTCTTTACTTCCCCAGGACACACATTCTGGTACCCATTTTAGACTGCGTCGACCTCCGTCGCCTCATAATTACAAATATATGGTAGCACCACATGCATATTGAGCTTCCTGGCACTAGAAATGAGTTAACTTCTTTTTACCACAGCTGTGCGTGGTTACACCATATCAACAAGGTAGGTAATTTTCTAGAGCTGACTATTGACCTATCGACAAAGCCCTTTATTCCCACTAATTAACTGTGTGCGTGCGAGAATTACCCAATCTTCAGCCTTCTTGCCGACTCTTTGACAGATCATGGACAGCGAATAGAACCTTGAGGGCTCCCTGTTAAGGGCGGGAGAAAATCCCTGGAAAGTTTGGCCGGGTTAGGCTTCTGCAGAAGAAACCTCGGGCTTTTCTCGTGAGAGTATGAAAAGATATCAGACGAGGAGCAGAACCAGTCAGCTTCACATTGTCATAGATACAAACGAGAAGAAAACGTTGCGGTTAGAACGTCTTCATCAGCACATGAATATACAACATCATATAAACGAAATAGAATACACAAAAGCCACTTCACTGAAGTATTTCCGAGAGACATCCACATTTCGGCAGTCCGGCACTTTGACTGCT